GGTTCTAGCATTAATACTGGTTATGGACGTCAAATATGTCTTTAATTTGTACATTTGTAGTTAAGGGAATTACTGGTAAACATTTTGTAGACTGGTTAAAAATACAGACAAATTCTTTAGTCTATGAAATACTAAAATAACTATAACATTTATATAAATATGTCATGATGTATATTTTTCCCTTCAAAATAATAAAAGAAATTTTAAACTTTTCCTCTCATTATCATTTCATGTATGCAATATTCACAGAAATTACAATTCTAATAATTTTTTTTTTATGGTACTTTCATAAGCCAGACAGTCTTGTTTCATGAAGTATGCCAGAACCTATGACTGATACAAGCCTAGAACTAGTCTTGCTGTTCTAATGAGGAGAAACATCCAAAAGAGGGCAGAGCGTGGTAGCAGAAATCTCTAGCTAGTGATAATAATGAGCCTTCAGGTGGCAGTCAAGCAGGTTTCAGAGTTTTGGTTATTCTGAGGTAGGTTTCCGGATAACAATGAAACCTATGGAGGAGAATTCGGCTTCCAGGAGAAAAAAAGGCTACAAAGTAGTTGTCAGGTGACCAGCCTAATAGGTTGGGGTTTAGGGTAGGAGTGAGGTATCAGTTGGGAAACGGAATGTTATAAAGAAATGAAATCGGTCAAACAACCTGGGACAACCATGTTTGCAGTTTGAGAAGACTACCGCTAATTGAACGAACAGGCAATTAGTGGGTGCCAGCATTCTCTTCTTTTAAGTTATAAGCAATTTCTTTTTTAACTAATTTCACTCACGCTCCAGGTTACTTCCATGCTAAAAAAGAATTTTTTAAATTAAAAATGTCAGGTCGGTAGCCAGAAATACAGCTAGTCAGCAAAGACTACACTCTTAGATGAAGAAACAGTACAAGTTTATCTTCAATTCCTTAACAACCTACAAAGTATAATCTACAGGCATAGCTTGCTTGATTGTGCTTCACTTTATTGTGCTTCACGGATACTGAGTTTTTTACAAACTGTAAGATTTGTGGCAACCCTGCATCAACAAGTCTATCAGCGCCATTTTTCCAACAGCATGTGCTCACTTTGCGTCTGTGTCACATTTTGGTAATTCTTGCAATATTTCAAACTTTTTCATTATTATTATATCTGTTATGGTGATCTGTGATCAGTGATCTTTGATGTTACTGTTCTAATTGTTTTGGGGCACCACAAACTGCAGCCATATAAGACAGAGAACTTAATAAATGTTCTATGTGTTCTGACTGCTCCATTGACCGGCCACTCCCCCTTCCCCCATCTTTCTCCCTCTCCTCAAGCCTCCCTATTCCCTGAGACACGACAATATTGAAATTAGGCCAATTAATAACCCTATAATGGCCTCTGAGTGTTCAAGTGAAAGGAAGAGTTGCACATTTCTCACTTTAAATCAAAAGTTGGAAATGATTAAGCTTACTGAGGAAGGTACGTCGAAAGCCAAGACGGGCTGACAGCTAGGCCTCTTGCACCAAACAGTTAGTCAAGTTGTGAATGCAAAGGAAAAGTTCTTGAAGGAAAATAAAAGTGCTACTCCAGCAAACACACTAATGATAAGAAAGCAAAACAGCCTTATTGTTGATACGGACAAAGTTTTAGTGGTATGGATAGAAGATCAAACCAGCCGCAACATTCCCTTAAGCCAAAGCCTAATCCAGAGCAAGGCCCTAACTCTCTTCAATTCTGTGAAGGCTGAGAGAGGTGAGGAAGCTGCAGAAGAAAAGTTTGAAGCTAGCAAAGGTTGGTTCGTGAAGTTTAAGGAAAGAAGCCATCTCTATAACATAAAGGTGCAAGGTGAAGCAGCAATTGCTGATATAGAAGCTGCAGCAAGTTATCCAGAAGATCTAGCTAAGATAATTGATGAAGGTGGATACATTTAACAACAGACTTTCACTGTAGACAACATAGCTTTATATTGGAAGAAGATGTCATCTAGGACTTTCACAGCTAGAGAGAAGTCAATGCCTGGCTTCATAGCTTCAAAGGACAGGCTGACTCTCTTAGGGGCTAATGCAGCTGGTGACTTTAAGCTGAAGCCGATGCGCATTTACCATTCCAAAAATCCTAGGGCCCTTAAGAATTATGCTATATCTACTCTGCCTATGCTCTATAAGGCCTGGAAGACAAAACATCTGTTCACAACATGGTTTACTGTAAACTTTAAGGCCACTGTTGAGACCTACTGCTCAGAAAAAAAGATTCCTTTCAAAATATTACTGCACATTGACAATTCACTGGGTCTGCCAAGAGTTCTGATGGAGATGTACAAGATTAATGTTGTTTTCATGCCTGCTAACACAATATCCATCCTGCAGCTCACAGATCAAGGAGTAATTCTGACTTTCAAGTCTTAGTATCTAAGAAACACATTTCATAAGGTTTTGACTGCCATAGACAGTGATTCCTCTGATGGATCCGGGCAAAGTAAACTGAAAACCTTCCATTAAGAACATTCAAGATCCATGGGAAGAGGTCAAAATACCAACATTAACAGGTGTTTGGAAGAAGCTGATTGCAACACTCACAGATGACTTTGAGGGGTTCAAGGCTCCACTGGAGGAAGTAATAGTGGATGTGGTGTAAACAGCAAGAGAACTAGAATTAGAAGTGGAGCCTGAAGATGTGACTGAATTGCTACAATCTCATGATAAAACGGATGAGGAGTTGCTTCTTATAGATGAGCAAAGAAAGTGGTTTCTTCAGATAGAATCTACTCCAGGTACATGCTGTGAACATTGTTGAAATGACAACAAAAGATTTAGAATATTACATAAACTTAGATGATAAAGCAGTGGCAAGATTTGACAGGACTGACTCTAATTCTGAAAGAAGTTCTACTGTGGGTAAAATGCTATCAAACAGCATTGCATGCTACAGAGAAATTTTTTGTGAAAGGATGAGTCAATTGATGCAATAAACTTCGCTGTGTTATTTTAAGAAATTGCCACAGTCATGCCAACCTTCAGCAACCACTACCCTGATCAGTCAGTAACCATCAACATAGAGGCAAGACCTTCCACCAGCAAAAAGATTACAACTTGCTGAAGGCTCAGGTGATGGTCAGTATTTTTTAGCAATAAAGTATTTTTTAATTAAGGTATGTACGTTGTTTTTTTGGACATAATGCCACACTTAACAGACTACTATATAGTATAAACATAACTTTTATATGCACTGGAAAACCAAAAGGAGCCTTTGTGGTGCAGTGGTTAAGAGTTTGACTGCTAACCAAAACATCAGCAGTTCAAAGCCACTGGCCGCTCTTTGGAAACCCTAGGCAGCATTTCTACTCTGTCCTATAGGGTCGCTAGGAGTCAGACTTGACTCGACAGCAACGGGATTTTTTTCTTTTTTTTGGTTTGGGAAACCAAAATATTCGTGTGACTCATTTTATTGCAATATTCACTTTACTGCAGTGGTCTGGAACTGAACCTGCAATATGTCTGAGGTATGCCTGTACTACAGTCAGTTTTACAAAGTATCCAAGGTATTACCATCCTGGACTAGAAAAATTGCTGGAAAGGACATTACTGGGATAATTCAATGGTTCTCAAATGGGAGCAATTATGCCCCCCAGGAGACATTTCGCAATGTGTGGAGACATTTTTGGTTGTCACGAGGGGGAAGGAGAAGGCTCAGAGTCTACTCGTGTTGAAAGGGTAGAAGGCAAGAATGCAGCTAAACATCTTATAATGCACAGGATAGCCCCTACAACAAAAAATTATCAGGTGCAAAATCTCAAAACTATGATGCTGAGAAACCTGTGACGATGAAATCTGAATATGAACGGCATTATACCAATGTTAAATTTCCTGAATTTGACAATTTTCCTGTGATTCCATAAAAGAATGATTTTGTTCCTAGGAAATACATATTAAAGTATTCAGGATATATGGCATGTCTCAACTTACCTGCAAATGGTTCAGAAAAAAAATAATATGTATGTATAAAGAAAGAATAAGTGATAAAGCAATGGGCAAAATGTTGACAATTCGTGAATCTGGTAAAGGACGTACACAAATTCTTTTTATTATTCTTACGGTTGAAGTTACATCAAAATAAAAGTACTACCACTTTTGTAATTGTCTATTAACTGGGCAACTTTCCCAGTGTATTTGTGTAATACAGGAAATCAATTTTCTTTAACTCCTTTCCCAAAATAAATTACACTATCTTGAATGGATATTTGCAAATTTGACCAAGATAACTCAAGTAAGCTAAAAAGTATAATTTCTAAAATGTGAATAGCATAGACAAAGCTAGAAATATGTAAACATCTACCAAAAACATGACATATTTTAGAATAGCACAGGAAATGCACGGACTAATATCCCTGCATTATATAGTTTAGGCTTTCAATACACACTGAAAACTGAAACCATTTAGAATCACATAAGATCTGAACACAATCAGTACAGGCAGTCCCCAGATTATGAATGAGTTCTGTTTCTGTCTTTAAGTTGAATTTGTATTACATAAGTTGGAACAGTAGGTACAGTTCATATGTAACATCAGTTAAATGTTCATCTTAGTATATAGTAGAGTATACCTTTCTGTGTATAAAATACATTAAACAAACCCAGATACACAAAAACGTCTTTAACATAGTAATACAGTAATAATAATAATGTTTTCATGGGTGTCACAAAGCAGCACCTGTTTTTATTACCAACCACTGTGTGTATGTTTTTAAAAAAACAGGCTTTACGGGAGTTGGTTTGTAACTACAAGTTGTTCCTAAGTCGGACATTTATAACCCGGGGACTGCCTGTATAAAAAAAATAGATTTTTAAGACTCAGAGTTTTAGAAGTTTAACATTAGTTCCGAATTCTTGAACCTTATCATTTCTATTTCTTGGCACTCGTTACTCAACTAGCATTCAACAAACATACGATAACAACTTCATAAATATCAACAGTGGTTTCCTTTGGAAAAAAATAATTAAAAAATTTAAATCCAAGAAAAAATTCAGGGTACTTACAGATGTCTGGGACATACTTGACTGTTGTGTGACACTTCCTGTGGGGGAAGTAGATGGTCTTCCACTGGACAAACTTGCCTTAAAAAGAAAAAAAAAAGACCTTTATAATAATATGTCTATAAAAAACCTGAAATTAGCTGGCGGAGCCAACCTGGCACTATGGACAGAAGCACCACACTGTCCCTCCACAGCAAAGACCCGAAAAACTAAGTAAAACAGAGACAAATGTCAATCCTGGAACCCTAAGCATCTAATGAAGAGATAAAGAACTCAGTCAAGCACCAAATGGAGTAAGAAACTGACAGAGAACGGAGACCGAGAAGAGATACGTGTGGAGGTCCCCATGAGCTAACGCAGCACAGATTCGCCATCTTCGACTCCTGTCGGAGATAGGTGGACAGGGAGTACAGGAAAGCAGCTTCATGGAGCTCCCAGCAGGAGAAAGACCAACCAGTAATATACGCTTTCCCACCCCCCATCCTTCTCCCCTGCCCTCAGCCTGCGCTGTGCCCCTTCCTAGCTGGCTGCAGTCGCTCGGTTAGCCAGGAAGTACAGGGTCCATGTCGCTTGGATTTGCTCCGCCCACATCAAAGAGCAGCAGACAGGGAGTACGGGAAAGCAGCTTCACAGAGCTTCCAGCAGGAGACAGAACAACCAGTAACCAGTAATATACGCTTTCCCACCCCACAACCTTCTCCCCTCTACTCAGCCTCTGCCCCTTCCTAGCTGGCTGCAGTTGCTCAGCCAGGAAACACTGGCTCTGGCCCCATGCCACTTGGATTCGCCCCACCCACACTGGTTGGCTCCATCAGTGCTATTTGTTGCTGGTGTTGCATTTTCCGATTCTTCCAGTTTCTTCCCCACCTCTTATCACCTCCCCCTCCTTTCTCTTGAACACCTGGTTCCATGTGCCAGCTTTGCTGCTTCTTAAAAGGCTGTGAAGCACTGCTAGACTGGGGAACTGCTTCCCTGATCCACACCACCACGCTGCTGGGATCCCCAAGGCCTTTTTTTCTTTTCGTTTTGTTTTGTTCTGTTTTGTCTTGTTTGTTTTTTTCTTTTCATGGCTTTGGAGCCACTTCCCGGTTTTACACAGCCGTGCCAGTGGGAGCCCGGGGGACATTTCTTTTTTTTTTTTTTTTTTTCCCTTTCCGTCTTTCTTCATTTCTGTTTCTCATTTCTCTATATTTACCTTCTTTTCCTGTCTCCTGAATATCTGGTGCTGTGTGACACCTCTGCACCTTCTAGCCAGGTTGTATTTCACGGCCTGGGAGCCACTTCCCCAGGTCTTCAAAGCCACATCAGTGGGATGCCTGGGGACTTTTCTTTTTTTTTTTAGTCTTTCTAATTTTTATTTATTATTTTCGTTTTTTTCCACTCATTTTTCTCCATTTCTCAGTCTGTCTCTCCACTCCAACAGTAAGCTCCCTTAGCACTCTTTTGTGTGTGCGTGTTTTGTTTTTGGCTCCTGTTTTCTCTCTGCTCTCTCTCTCGTCTTTGCACCCATCTTAGCTCCACACATCACAACCTACCCGCTCCTTCCTGCCTACCTGCACCATGCACTGAACATCACATCCCCAAGCAGCACAGGCACGGCCTCCCGGAACCTGCCCTGCACTGATTCCCAGCCCACCCTGTTGGACTAGTACGTGTCACAAACAACCCATCCCAGCAACTCCCCTTCAGCTGGACCTGCCCTGCTACACCATAGCAGAGAAACGGGCCCTGCCTATTGGACAAGGCGGTGAAAAGTATCATGCCCACAGACAAGCAAACAACAAAGAACACACAGCCTGCCTGCTCAGACATAACCAAATAAAACAAAAAAGCAGGATGAAACAAATCTACAATCAATAAACGAAGACAGTAACTACTGAATGTCCCAAAGACAGCAGACAATATCAAAACATATTGAAAAAAAAGACAGGATGGTTTCAGTAGGCATCCAAAATAAAACAACAGATTACTTTCCAGTAGAAGAAAAGGCACTAGAACTACCTGATAGGGAATTCAAATCTCTAATATTTGGCGCTATCCAAGAGTTGAAGCAAAAAGCAGACAAAAATTAGGAAAAAATAGACAAATTCATGAAAAATAATAGACAAAAAATGGAAGAATTAAGGAAAATAATACAGGAACAAAATGCCAAAATAAATTCACAACTAGAAATCACACAAAAACAACAATTAGAAATCCAAAAGATAAACAAGACTTCAGAAATGGACAGTGTCACAGAAGGGCTGAGGAGCAGTTTGAAACGATAGAATCAGCGAAACTGAAGACAAACACTTGGATACAACTTTGAGGAAAAATCAGAAAAAAGAACAAAGAAAAATGAAGAAACCCTGAAAATTATGCGGGATACAATCAAAAGCAAAAATCTGCGAGTGATCGGAGTTCCAGAACAGTGGGAGAAAATGGAAAACACAGAGAGGATCACTGAACAACTGCTGACAGAAAACTTCCCTAATATTATGAAAGATGAAAAGTTGACCATCCAAGAAGCTCAACGAACCCCATATAGGATGGGACCCCAAAGGAAAATCACCAAGGCATATCATAATTACACTCGCTAAAAGCCAAAGACAAACAAAGAATCCTGAGAGCGGCTCGAGAAAAATGAAAAGTCACATACAGAGGGGAAACAGTAAGACTAAGCTCTGATTATCTGATAGAAGCCATGCAGGCAAGAGGGCAACAGGATGACATACATAAAACCTTGAAAGAAAAAAATTGCCAACCAAGAATAATATATCCTGCAAAACTCTCATTCAAATATGATGGTGAAATTAGGACATTTCCAGATAAACAGAAATTAAGGAACTATATAAAAACCAAACCAAACTTACAAGAATTATTAAAGGCAGTCCTTCGGTTTGAGAACAAACATCAGACCACAGCCTGAATCTAGGACGCAAGATCGTACCAGCCAGATACCAACCTAGGAAATGCACCCTCAAGGACTATCCAAAACCAAAAGAATTACAACAGGGAATCAGAGAGGTAAATCTGTAAATGACAACAATGTAAGAACAATAAAAGAGGGAATAAATGGTACAGGTATAGGACTTTCTAATGGAGAGGAAGGCAAGGCGATGCTGAGTAATAATAGACTGGTTCAAACCTAGGAAGATAAGGGTAAATTTCAAGGTAACCACAAAGAAAGTTAACAAACCTACTCATCAAAATAAAGAAGAAAAACATAAAGTCTCACTAAAAATAAAATCTACAGAAACGAACTGAAAAAAAAAAAAAAACCCACAAACAAAAGGAATTCAGCACAGGAGAGTAAGAGGAACAAAGAAAACGTCAGCACCACAAAAACCTGAAGTTAAAAGCTTTCTGTCACCAGGATAACACAAAATCACAACAAAAAGTCAAAAGGTTCAAATATGAACCAATTAATTTTATGGTCAACATGACTTAAGCTTTGGTCAGACAGGTTTTAAAAAAAGAAAAAACTGAATGGTGGAAACAGGACCAAAAGGCTGATCTTAGTTTTATTAGCCGCACACATTGTCAGTTTCACCCTACAGGTTCTGCGATCTTTGAAATGGAATCACCACTCCAACATTATGAAAAAGAAACTGGAGCTACATCAAGAGCCAGTTTCAGTTTTCTAACTCAGATCATGAACACAATGTTATTTAAAATTACACTACCAAGAAGAAACCACAGCTGAGGATCTGTTAATAACAGAAATAAGCCTTTTTCAGTGTTAGTCACTAGAAATTCTAGATGAATCTACTGAGGAGATTTAAGATTGAATCTCACATACAGTTTTATTTAAATGATAGTATAATAATAAAGAAAATAACTCTTTTAATATTTAATCATAAAATCATCCTGTTAGCAGCAGGAATAGTATGACTGGATTTTAGAAAGATGCATATATATATATATATATACTTACAAGTAAAGAATTTCTGGAGGACAACTATTGGTCTCTACTCATCCAGAACAAAAGAGAAAGGAGGAAACTGAAGACTCAGAGAAGAAAGCAGTCTACAGGACTAACAGACTATACAAACCATGGCCTCCTCTATCCTAAGACCCGAAGAACTAAATGGTGCCCAGCCACCACTATCGACTGTTCTGATTAGGGCCACAATTAAATGGATCCTGATAGAAGGGAGAAAAACATGGAACAGAACTCAAATTCTTAAAAAGTCCAGACTTACTGGACCGGTTGAGAGTAAAGAACTCCCTGAGACTATTGCCCTGAGATACTCTTTAAATTTGAAACTGAAATTATCCCTTGAGGTCACCTTTTAGCAAAATAACAGATTGGCTCATAAAATAAAGAATATTATCAGTGAGTAATGAGCTGCTTTAAAAAATCATCTATATGAGACTAAACAGTCAAAAATTACTCTAAAGCAAAGATAAGAAGGTAAGGGGGCATGGAGACTAGAGTAGTATAAATGGTACAGCCAGACCTGAATGAATAAGAATGATTAACACATTGTGAAAAACGTAACCAAGATGACTGAATAATTTGTGTAGAAACTGTTAAATGGGAACCTAATCTGCTGTGTAAACTTTCACCTTCAACACAATAAAATATTATTTAAAAAAATTTTTTTTTTCTTGAGGAATACATATTAAATGGAGTCCCTGGGTGGGGCAAACTGTTAACCACTCAACTACTAGCCAAGAGGTGGGCAGTTCAAACCCACCCAGAGGCGCTTCGCAAGAAAGGCCTGGCAATCTGCTTCTGAAAGGTCACAGACTTGAAAACCCTATGCAGCAGTCCTACTGTGCACACGTGGGGCCGCCATGAGTCAGAATCAACTCAATGGCAACTAACAACAACAACAGATATTAAGCTATTACAGTGACCACCTTACAAAAGTGGGAAACAGCAGTGGGTATGGAAAAGGAATACCTTTACTTTATTTGCCTCTTATAAACAATTTTATACTGTATGATATTTTTAATGAGTACAAACTATTTATATAATAAAAAATCTTGTTTTTTTGTTCAAATGTAAATATAATTCATGTAACCTTGACTATTCACTATCGTTTCTAGAATTTTATACACAAAGTTATGCCATACCATAGCATTTCTGCAATGTAGATAAAAAGCAGTGGGACAGAATCTAGCAACAGGGTAATTTACAAAACATTATTTTTTTCCAAATTAACTTCTATTTGATGCCTACTAATACATTTCCTTAAGGAAAAATAATCACAGGGTATCTGAGAACTCTGAAATCATATCCACTGTACACCCTCTCCTCACTTATCAACATGGTTAGGTTCCAAAGACCAGGTCGTTATGGAAATCAGCATTATGCAAAAATGGAGGATGATCACATTACATCACAAAACGGAGGTAACAACATGATTACATAACTGCCAAGTCACCTCATTACATAACTGCTGAATTATATCATTACATACTGCCAAACCACTGAGAATCATGGCCTAGCCAAGCTGACACATAACCTTAACTACCAAAGCCAGCGTTACTCTCACATCACATCTCAGCGTACGTTACTGCCAAGCGTACATCGTTAATGCACAAGATAGTTGGACAGTAGATTTTTTACTACTGTTGTTATGCAAAATGTCAGATAATGAGCTAGTCTATAAATGAGGAGGTGTATTTATTTTCAGTAATCATCTGCTGATAATTTAAGCTTTGATCTTCTAAAGTCTTAATTTATATCAGTCTCACCTGAACAGCTGCAAGGCTCTGAAGCTGGGAGCTGCTTAAATGCTGCTGCTGAAGAGCTGCGGTGTGCAACATCAAGTGCTGCTGTTGGGCTGCATACATCTGCTGAAGGTACTGAGCAGCTGAGCTGGGGGGGCGATGCAATGCCTGTTGAATTACCTGTGATAAGTCAATTGAACCAATGTCAAACCATAGTCTTAACCTTAATCTTAACCATAAAATAAAGTATAAAAAAAAAGGCGGCAGTTTAATGTTTCACTGCATTGGTAATATCACATTTCATCAAGTTTATTAACATAGTTCTCTCCTAGTTATGTATCCCCAGGATTCACTAATTTGTTCAAATTAAAATTATCCAGTAGAGGCAATCGGCAAAAGAAGAAACGGCCAGTAAGTATTTGAAAAGATCTTCAATCTCAGTAGTAAAGACAAATTAAAACAAGATACTATTTTCCATCTTTCAGATGAATAAATATTTGAAAGACTACTACTAATAACTGGGGAAACAGATATCCTCAAATGCTGTTAATAAGAACGTAGGTCCTCCAAGGTCAAGAAAGAAGGGAGAGTGTTGACATGTCGTGGGGTTGTTAACCAACGTCATAAAATAATATGTGTACTGACTGTTTAATGAAAAACTATTTGTTCTGTAAACCTTCACCTAAAGTACAATAAAAAAAAAAAAGTTTAAAAAAAAGAATGTAAACTGGTATAACCTTTTGTATACAACTTGGAAGAATTCAGAGCTTGGGTGTAAACAGGAATACCTTTATCATATAGCATTTACAAACAATAATGTAGGTGAGAACTGTCCAATGTAACAGCCAATATCCACATATGTCTACTGAGCACTAAGCACTTAAAATGTGGCTAGAACAATTAAGGAACTGAATTTTTAATTTTATTGAATTTTAATTAATTTTAATTTTCACGTAAACAGCCACATGTAGCTAGTGGTTACTATTTTGGACAATGCAGACAATAAATACATCTGTATTTATTAACAGAAAAAATGTTCCCAAATAAATCATTAGGTGAAAAAATCAAGTTACTAAATAGTGTATAGAGTAAGATTCCACTTTTATATGAAAATATTTGAAAGAATATTCAGGAAAACATTAAAAGACCGCTGATAGGTGGCTAGATTAGAGGTGATTTTTACGTTCTGGTTTGTATTTTTCTACAAACGTCTGAAAATCTTAAAATGAGTAGGTATTATACTAATAATTACATAAAATTATAAAGCTATTTCTTAATTACTAAATAATTACTTTTTAAAATGTTAAGATTCTCAGATTCCTTGTTTCAATTGTTTCAACATGGAAACCATTCTTACTAAAGAAATGCTCCTGAAGAAGTGCTAATTACTGTGAATATTTATTAGCAAAACGTAAAATCTGAGCCTGAAAGTTCACTCAAAAAGTCAAGTATTCTAATAAGAACAGAGAAAAATTCTTTATCTGTCCAAAACGAAGTCACACTACTCCAGTCCTCTGCAACCACATCCCAGTCATATCATGCCCAACTGAGACTCTGAAACACAACACAGAACCCTAACCTTAGTATCAAACCAGAGAACCCCAGTAAGTTTTCAAAGACCTAAGGGAGTAATACAGCATAACCCTACTGTGTGTGGGTTCAAGTCCTGAACCACAAAGCCATGAATCCCTTTATCCAAATTCCAAGAAAAGTCTGTTTTCTTGTGTTATTATTTACTTTCACGTGTTCATAGCTCATTTCTTTATCCAACTACAGACTCCTAAACCTGCTACAAACTCCTGTCAGAAAAATCAATGTAGGCTTTTGACCCCTATTTGCAAGGGAGTATAGGTCAGCACTGAGTGATTGCGAATTACAATAATAAGTCTTTCTGGTCAGATAAATCTATATATGTTCTTCTAATTCCATAACAAAATTCTAAAATCAAACTGAAATAATAAATAAGCTATTTGACACAAATTTTTGTCAGAATATAATCATTTTTTCTGTTGTCAGCATAGTCTTTCATTAGCATGCAATGTTCTACTCACAGGAAGTGATATTCTTTTTAAGTACAAGTAAAAGGTACAGCACATTGTTCTTATTTTGTTCCTCTAAAGGAACAAGGAGGGCAGGGAAACTAGATAATTTACAGGGCTGAAAAAGAAGGCTAAAAGATTAAAGAACAACTTAGGTAATTCAATAAATACTGATTTGATTGCATTTTAGGGGAAGCAACTGATCTTAGAGGAACCAGAGTTAGTGCTATTTGTGAGATATAGCTATAGCTATGCCTATATAGCTCCAGTAACACTTTATTTTTTACTAACGCATTCAGCTTAAGAAAAAAAAAATTAGAAAACAAAATGGCATATTAAAATACCACATCAGCTATATGCTCAAAGATCTGGATAATTTTCCCCACAGCTCTTGTCTCAGAGAAAAATGAAGGACATTAGAAGCACACTCTGCATTTCAGCTTGAATTTCTGCTGAACTGGCTGGCTCTCCAACAGTTCTGATTCCACACTAGAGTGACTTCAGAAAATTACATCCTAAACCATAGAACAGTTAAATAGAATACTGGGACAGGCACTCTTGAAAGCAAGAGGTGGGATTACATAGCAAACAGGGAAGCTGTTTTCAGGGTACAGTGCAATTTTGAGGACTCTAGAAAAATCCAACGCAAAAACCCATTGCCGCCGAGTCAATTCCGACTCATAGCGACCCTACAGGACAAAGTAGAATTGCCCCATAGAGTTTCCAAAGAGCGCCTGGTGGATTCTAACTGCTGACCTTTTGGTCGGCAGCCAAATGATTAATCACTGTACCACGATGGCTTCGATTCTAGAGAAAGCAGGTATAAAGAAAAGAACAAGAGTAGTTAAAGGCACAAACTCTGGAGTCAGAGCATGTACTAGCTATGTGAGTTTGGGAAAGTTACTTAGCCTATTTAAAAATCAATTTTCCCATTTCTAAAAAGGAAATAATGATAATATCTACTTCCTAGAGGTATGGTGAGGATTAACTGAGATAATCCAGGTAAAGCACTTATCAAATGCTTGGCACATAGCAATTATTCAATAAATATTAGCAATTATTATTTATCAGGTATCTATAATGCATCCTATACAGTTCTAGATACTTCATTTAATCCTCATAGGAACTAATGAAGTAGGTGGTCTCCTCCTCATTTTAGTTTCCTAAGACTCAAGGAGATTATGCCTCTCACCTAAGGCTACACAGCTACTGCAATTCCAGTAAAGGGCATATCAGACTGCAATACCCAGACTCTTTATATAATACCATATTGCCTCAACCTCCATTATTATAAAGGTTAACTTCGTAAACTTTCACAACTAAATGAAAAGCCTCAGACTTTTCCAAGTTAAATATTCCCTTCCCCTTCGGCACCTAAGAGCTTTAGAACAGCTCCTCCTGCTTAAGTTTCTCAGCCACCAGGGATTAAAATGAACCTCTTAATGCATCTACAGACCTAACCAGATCTTCCTAAGCCTATTATTTTGGGTTCAAATATGTGTGCCTAAAACAGTCCAGGAAAACCTAGAGCCATCATGCATGTTGGGGCTCTAGGCTGAATGTTCCCACATCTTAGCAGAACCTTGACACTTTCTGTCTTAGTCATCTAGCGCTGCCATAACACAAATACCACAAGTGGATGGTTTTAACGAGAGAAGTTTATTTCCTCACAGTCAAAGTAGGCTAAAAGTCCAAATCCAGAGCGTCAGCTCCAGGGGAAGGCTTTTTCTCTCTGTTGGCCTTCTCATCAATGTTCCCCCAGACTAGGAGCTGCTCGGCGCAGGGACCCCAGTCTAAAGGGCACGCTCTGCTCCCGGCACTGCTTTCTTGATGGTATGAGGTCCCCCTCTCTCACTGCTCACTTCTGTCTTTTATATCTCAAGAGATTGCCTCAGGACACAATCCAGTCTTGTAGATCAGGTCCTGCCTTACTAACACAAC